CCCCTGGCTGACTTTTTCCGTTTTAGATCTAGGATGGACCCTGGAGCCAGTCCTTTAATAGTTTGCACACCGCGGCCTCCTTTGCCTGATACTCATCCGCTCACCCTCTGCTCTGCCTCTGCTCACCTGCACGCCGGGCCCTCTCCTAGTGCTTCGTCAGCTGGGCCCGAGGCGTCTTCCCTATTCAGGGGGGCGAAGGCCTCACCCTCCGGGATTTGGCTACAAGGTGGGGAGGCCCAAGTGAATCTAGTTAAACACGAATCTCCATCTTTCACTCTAATATTTGTAAATCAGTGGTATTCAGCCTTCAGTGAGTGTCAGAATCACAGGGTGGGGTTAGTTGAAACCCAGATTGCTGGACCCTCCCCCGGCCCAGAGTTTCTGTTCAGTACGTTGTGAGTTTGCCTTCTCGCCTGCTCCCAGGTGCTGCTGCTGGCAGTCAGGGACGACACCGTGGGAACCTCTTGTCTAGGGCTCCTCCATTTGCTTTTCTCTGTATTTGTTAAATGCCACAACAAATCCAAATACATGAAGTCTTACACTTCTTAAATGATTTTGAATTGTTTTCTTATAGTTATTTAGAACAATATATACATTTAATTTGGCATTTTTAAAATTTTATCAAAGCCTCTTATTTTAGAATAAATTACCAGGGTGAAAATGCTTACTACGATTTAATAATAATGCCATGTCCACCACTGCACAGATAACTGAAGTGTCTGTTTATGTTTCCATATCATACCTTCTGCCTATTCCCCTCCAGTTCTTCTCTTTTCCCCTCCCTTTCTTTGTCACTTATCTATTTAGTGCCTGCTTTGTACCAGACAGTGAGCTAAGACCCAGGGTACAGAGATCATCAGAAAGAGGTAAATAAGCTTGCAGTTGAGTCAGACATGGAAAGAGATGAACACGAGACACGTGGCAGGGCGATGGTGGCAGTTAACGTGTGTGCAGGAGAGAGGGGGCGAGCTCAGCAGGAGGGGTGGTGGGATCGCAGGGAAGGTGTCCCAGAGTCAGACAGGAAGAGCCCACACGGACTTACAGCCCAATTAGAAGGAAAGGCAATTATAGTAGCACTGGTGCTACAATGTTTTTTTCCTTCTTTGCTAAGTAGTTTAACTTGTACCCTTGAATAACATGATTATGAACTAGTAAGATATTGAAAAAAAAGAAGGAACACAGTGCTCAGTGTTTATACTTTTAAAGAAAATAACTACTGCATAGTTCAACTCAGACAATTTTGTCAGCTGATAAAGTTATAGAAATATTTTAGAAAGTTGAAGAAGATCACTATCACAGGGTTGGACAGATGCATGGATTCCAGGTCAGCTGAGACAAACAGGCCCCTTTCCTCCTAGGAATGGCCCCGGAGAGACTCAGAAGTGAGGACTCATTTGCCGAGAACACAGCTTTGCCCTGGGAGGCGCCACCTCCTGGCTGGCCTTGCTGAACTGGCTGGAGCTCAGAGCAACTGTGTGGTTACTTCCTGAGAATCCTTTCCCACTCTTGTAAAAAGAGCCCATGTGTTTGGGCTTCTACCTTACAAGGCTGTGGGAGTGTGACTCGATGAGTGGGTGAACACACGTCATTAGAAAACAGCAGGGGAACAGGGGTAATTGACAAGGCAGAGTGTGCAAGGACATGGCCCTTGGACTCACTGCTGTACGAGCCACAGCCTCGGTCTGCCACAGCCTTTGTGATTCTGAGCCTAAGTTTTCTCATCTGGCAAACTGGAATATGATGTGAAGCTTTAATAAGAATAAAACAAGACAATGTGTGCAAAGTGTTGACACAGGTACTAAACAATGACAAAATAGCCACAAAGTATAAAAGCATTTGACACAATAAGAAGCATTTAATCAACCTGGAGACTATGTGGAAAGATATAGTAACCTACCAGCACCCTGTAAGAAGTGTTATATAAGGAGTTGCTTTAAAATTATAAATCATTTGAGACAGAATCATCCTCAGGAAAGAAGGACCATAAGTCTATCAATGAATCAACCAATCACATTGGGAAAATCACATGATTGCAACTCAACTTTTATTTACTTTTGGTGGCCTGGGTTGATTTGGGATCATGAACTCCTGAACACGGCAGTGAGGAACTGGTTGAAACTTTTCCATAATTATTGAGAAAAGAAAATAACTTGTTTAGTGGGATAAGATCACTATTCAAGCTAAGTTTTGAAAACTGAGAAGTTTCATGGTGATGATATTTTTAGTTAAAGAAGAAGCAAATGGACTCCCACAAGCAACCAAGATCCATCCATGTGCCATTCCAGGAAATTAGGAGTGTGATTCTTACGTTTTATTGGCAGATTTACCATCCAATCTGCTATCTTAAAGAAACTTTAATTTAGAACATTCATAAGCCTGCCTTCTCTGATTTTTGAAAACAAATATGCATTATTATAATAAGTCACAAAGATAAATTCAAAGCAGAGCTGCTCGAGATGGGAGCTGCTTACTATGTACCAGGCACTAAATTCAGTGCTTTCCAAGTATTAGCTTCATTTAATCTTCACAGTAACTCAGTGATATGGACCCATTTTACAGATAGGAAGCCTGAGGCTTAGAGGAGTCTGTCACTTGTCCAACGCTTTCACATACCATTCGGCTGCTAAGTGGCAAGCAGGGATTTGAACACATTTGCTGTATGTGTACACGACTTAACCGTGACACTGTACTGGCCCACCGGTTGGTTTCAGTTTGCCATGGTGGATTCTAAAATTGCAGATCAGCCTCCTGTCACTCAGTGCCTGCTGCTGGTCGCCCAATAAGTGAGGACACAAGGAAGGCGTACAGCTTACGTCCCATGAGCAGGATGCACAGGAATCCCTGCCTGCAGGTGTAGGTGCCTCTTCACGGGACGGCGGAGATCTCTGGGCCTCGCACAGAAGCCCATCAAAGCCTATGATCCAGGGTGACCTCACCGTGCCAATTCCAAGTGCCAATTACCAGTCCATGTTTCTTTTCCATCTCTTTGCTTGTGGTGAAGACTGACCTCTCGGGGTCTCAGAAGGTGCTCTGAGCTGTTCAACACGAGGAGGCGCTCTGCCTCGAGCTGTAATGGGGTGTCTTCTCGTGTTTTCTTTTCACGTGTTCTTCTTCACGTGCCTGAAGAAAGACCCCCTTCAGGAAGGGAAGCATTCATTGCTGGACCAAGAAGGCTTTAAAATCATACCTGAATTTCTTACCTTGAAACTTGGAACTTTTTACTTTGCCTGGTACTTTGGTTTTCGGTACATTTTATGTGCCATCCCCTGATTCTGTGTGAGGAGGCTGCATGGAAGGGCTGGGGACCCAGCCTGACCCTCCTTACTCTCCCCATCCAGATGCCTGGGCGCGTGGAGTCCCTGCAGCCCCAGGAGGGAGGGTGCGGAGCTGGGGCTGGAGTCCTACTCCCTGGGGCTGCGGAGGCGCTGGCCGGGCTTGTTCCGCAGACCGGCCCTGTGCGCTCATGTCTCCTCTGCGTGCATCCTAGGTCTCACCTCAGTCGTCCAGCAAGTCATGGAAAAAAGTGAAACCCGGAAACAAAGTTTTGTTTTCCCAGAATGTGTAGAAATTCCTGGCAGTGAGATTCATTTTCTTTCATCTTATTATGACTGCTACTAAAAAAATAAATGCAATGAGTCTGTGCCGTCGGCTAGTAATAGTTAAAGACGATGATGTGAGTGGAGTGTGCTTCTGCTGACCCCAGCAAGCTAGAGAATGGGAGGTTTTGGCTAAATGGTTATTTCCCCTTTCTCTCTTTTCCCCTCTCTCTTTCACACAGGCACTGCGTACCTGTAAATACTTAAGAAATATGATATGCTCCGTATTAATACTAAATGTGTATGCAAAACCATTGTTCTAGAAAGTGTCATACATTTACGTCTGTAAATTGTGTCTATGTATGTAGGTAATACATACCTACATTATATGTATATGGTCCATATACTCTGCCCATGACAGTCCTTATAATAAGTACTAGTAAGTACTTAGTAGTATCTCCATTTTACAGATGAGGAAACTGAGGCACAGAGAGGTTAGATAACTTGTTCAAGGTCACAGACGTGGCTAAATGGAGGGGCTGGAGTTTCGGTGCTTTACCACCAGTATGCTGCTTTCATGATGAGGTTTTCCTGGGTGACTCAGGAAGCACTTTTGCAGTAATTTGGAAATCACCATCGGGAACCTTAGGTAGGAGTCTGGCTTCCTGGAGGAAGCCCTGGACCAGGACTCGGGCCAACGGTATTTCAGCCCCGGTTCTCAGCTTCCTCACCTGTAAGCCGGAGATGATTACGACGTTGGCATGTGCCTCACAGAAGTGAAGGACATCTGAGAACACTCGAAGTGCTGCAGAACTGTTCAGAAATTATTCTTTACATGGTCACATGGGAATTCCAAGCTGAACTTTATTGGTGTTAGCCCTGTGCCCTCTCCACTCTTCTGTGCTGTATCATTGTGTCTTTAAACAAACTCATGTGCTGATCTGTGTGAGCTACTTTCCCGGGGAAAGGAGAGGTCTCATGCTCCCCCTTGGAACATCTTCTCATCGCCACACAGAGAACAGGTTACTCCACTGAGGAATCTCTCTTTTCTTCACACTCAAAACACACACCTTTCTTTTGTCCCTTTCACCTAAGAGACTAGAGTTTTATATTACAAGTGAAAATTCCCTTTATGAATTTTAATCAAGCAAAATCCATTCTGAGAGATGCTCAGAATGGAAGGGGTCTCAGCTGAGCGGGACCAACACCTTGTTTTACAGATAGAAAAACTGACAGTCACTGTGAGGGCCCCGCTAGAAATCACCCAGCAGATTAAAGCCAAACTGGGCCAAGAACCCGAGTGTCCCGACTTCCAGCCCAGGGTCAGTTCCACTCACTCATGCTGACCCTTGTACCAGAAGCTGCGGGTGTTTGAGTCTTGCTGTGGTCCTTTGTTTTATTGTTGATAGCTCTTCTGCTGGAATGCCATCCCCTCTCTAAGCATTTGTCCTTTGTTGCTTGCAGACGAAGACTGCATAAGCTGGGAGTGTCGAAGGTCACCCAAGTGGATTTCCTGCCCAGGGAAGTGGTGTCCTACTCCAAGGAAACCCAGACTCCTCTGGCTACACATCAGTCCGAAGGTGAACTGTCTTTTGTTTACTTTCCCTATTATCTTTGGAGACATTGCCAGGGAGTCACACTCTCCTTGTTGATTTCCTCTATTGTTATGAGATCGTCACAGGACACAAACATAGTGACACACTGAAGGCTTAAGTCTCCTTCGTCTCTGATTTTGAAAGCTCTAAAACGGGAACCCCATGGTACTCCTCCAAAGGACCCAACTTGAAACACGGATAACTTAGCGAAGTCACAGTTTATTAAAACTGGGTGGGAGGCCAGAGGAATCGCCAAAGAGTGATACAATAGAAACTTTTCCAAAGTTTATCAATAAGAAGAGTGTGTACATTAACATTCATTTGCAAAAATCAGCTAACTACAGCCCACCACCTGTTCCTCAAAACAGTGTGGTAGGATACAGCCACACCCAGGTGTCTGTGTGTGTGTATGTGGTTGCTTTCTGGCTACAATGCTAAGTTGAGTGGTTGTGACAGAGAATTTATGGCTCACATAGCCCAAAATCTTTAATCTGGGGCTTTAGAGAAAAACTTTGCTGACCCCAGATTGGCTTTGCCAATTTTACCATAATTGAAAAAGCTTTTCAACGCAAGCTCCGCAGAGGTGACTGGGAATTGAACTCATGCCTCCTTCATACATACCAGAACCATCATGTGGAAAAGTTGCATTCAAATCTCAGTGGATCAAAAAAACACATTCATAAGAGATGTTGAAGCTGATAAATCAAAACACTCCCTGGGAGTCCAGAATTACACCAGAGCAGAAGAGGGACCTGTGTATACTTAAAAGAGGATAAGCGAAGTTTGCATCCTTCGAGAATGGAATTATTGTTCTATCTAAGCACATTCTTTTTTTTACTTTATGTTGTTTTATTGCTTGGTGCGGGGAAGAGGATGCCAGAACTCTGGTTTCACTGTTGTTATGTAGTCAGCACTGTGAAAAAGCCATGAGAATGAAAAATGATTCGCATTCCCTGCTTGGTTTATGGCAAATATATATAAATCAGTGCAGTTTGAATTGTGCAAGCTACAGAGCTTTTCAGTTTCAGGTTTAAACACACAAGGCCGAAAGCAAAGTGAAATCTGATTCCTTGAAGTAGAGCGCGGCCTGCAGGCCTTATGAGACCCTTTCCTGGGTAACGCTGGCTGGCATGGGGACCATTCCATTGGTTGGTAGCAGGGCCTTCATTTTTCAAGTCTGATGATGAAATGAGTGTTTAGAAGCAAACACGTAGCACCCTCTGGTGGTGAAATTGGAAACTACCCGCTACAACAAATGTGAGGCCTGTACATTAACGTGGCAGAAAATACAAAGTTAGAAAAGCCTTTGGGAGCTCACCTAGTCTATCCTCGGGCCTCCAGGCAGACCAGGAAGATCGTTAAAAAACAAACTCACCACCCAACCCAAACATTTGTTTATTTGCTGCCAAAGGTATTTGCAGACTGTAGCCCAAGCTGTGTTTATTTAGCCCCAAATTTGACTCATAACATAAAGTTATACAACTGAAATAGGAGAAGGAGTATTTTTTTTTTTTGGAAAATGTGTAGACTTCAGGTATTGGAAAAGGCACAGGAATATTTACAAGGGAAGATAAATTAAGGATGAACGGGCATCAACTCCAGACTTTTAAACTGGACCATCAAAAGGAAAAGGCTGTGTATTTCCCTTTATTACTGCAGAGAGAGCTCGGGAGCCTCATTATGCTGTGGTCCAAGCGGCAGGACAGAAGGAATTTATTTCTCGGCTATTGGCAGAAGTCCATTCTGTTCTGTTAACGAGACTCATAGAGTGTTTTGTGGTGATGGGTATTTCACTAGTTCAGATTCCACAATACAGACTGGACTTCAAAACTAGCTACTGTAGCTCTAGACATTAAAGCCATTGCCAAGGGGTTTGGACAGGAAGAACTTTGGATTTGGGTTCAGCAAATTGTCCTCTCACTGCAGATGACCCCTTGACCTTTGGCTGCCCAGAGTCACCCAGCCACCAGATTGATGAAGGTGCCCAGTGCTTACTTTCACTTGCTCTGTGAAGGAAGATGGCAGAGGGAGGGCCCGGGGCAGCAGGGGGCAGCAGGGGGCAGCAGTCAGCAGAGAGGGTCCACCACACGGCAGGTTTGGGTCGGCTTCTGGACTGGGGGCTTGAGGCCTGGCAATGTCTTCACGACAACTGTAGCCATTTAGGGACAGGAACAATGAACTACTGAATTTGTGACACAGTGAGGCCCCTGAATGGGTGACATTTAAAGCTGTGGTGTGTATAAGAGTCACTTTAGCTCATTATTGCCTATGAGGGAATGATGATTATTTTTTAAAGTCATTATGCAACTGTGGTAAATTTAACATGTCCAAAGTAATGATCTCAGAGCACTGATGTGTTCTACATCTAATGGGGTTCTTGTGCATTTGGTTTTTTACGTGTTCTTATTTTATTCTTTACAATGGAGGGGAAGGTACTTGGGATTTGCCCAAGCCTAACTCTCTCTCCGCTATGTACTAAAATGAACAGTCTCTTAATCTGTGGTCCTAGTGACCTGTTATGAGAAACGCTCCAGAGAGTGATTTAAACCAGGAAGATTTAGGAATGATGTCTGCATGAACATTGAGCCCCTCCCCCAATACAAGTTGAGACCTTCCCTCTCTGCTCCAGGTCATTAGTTGAAGAGAAAGACGGCTGAGATTAGGAAACACTGATTTGGGGGGAGCTGGATCTCTCTGCCCCACAAATATTTTAAACACATGCTTTTTATTCCCAAGTAGAAAGAAAGGGAAAAAAATATGATCCCTGCCAAACTACCTCTGCCTGGCCTGTTATTAATATCTTTCTTTACTGACAGTGAGGTCCTGATATTATTTAGGAAGCCAGTCTTCTGCATCTTTATTAAGGAAAGTGCTGTCTCATAATAGACACCCAATAAATGCTGTTGAGTGACAAAGATGATGCCAGGCATCCTAAAAACTCCAAGTTCTATAATGACCCCTGGCAGAATGAGAATTGAGTAACTTACTGGAAAGATGCAAACCAACCTGGTGGGAGGAAGAGGAACAGGAGACGTATACAACCTGTTGATAATTTTGAAGGATTAGCTGATCTTCTTCTTCATGATATCTTATAAATTGGAAATCAGTGACCTCATGTTGGCCACCCCACCTCCCTTCACTTCCCTCTCATGCCCTGTTTCTTGTATCCAAGAAAGACCAGTTTTCTTGCACTTTCCACGGTGCTGTGCCGCCTCATGTCTCAATACACTTGCACACACTGTCTCCCCGCCTGCAGTGCCATCTGCCTGTTTGCCTTCCTTCAGGACCACAATCAAGGTCAGGTCCTTGGCAATCCCACTTCTGGTTAGTGTCCTCCCTCATACGGGCACAGTTCATTTTCCCCTTATCACGCTGTACTTGATTTCCACTTCAACGCCTACCTTTTAGACTGTGATCTCCTTGAAGGCTTGGTGTGCATTTTTTTTTTACCTTCAGAGCCAACAGAGTGCCTGACACAAAGCAAGGGCTCAGTAGATAACAATGGAAGAAATGAAGAAGGAGAGAGTCATAGAGAAATGAAAAAGAAGGAAGAGAAACTGCTTGTTGCATTTCAGGGAGGATGGATTATGATCCATGCATTAAGGCTACATTGATTTTATGGTTTTTTTTTAAAGATTTCATTTATTTTTAGAGAGAGGGGAAGGGAAGGAGAAAGAGAGGGAGAGAAACATCAGTGTGAGGAGGCAGTGTGGAAGCCCCTCTGGGTTTTCCCAGCAATGCTCATAGTTCACGAGCTCACTGGGGCATTCCTTTCTTTTACGCAGTCTCCGTGCTGCCCCAAGGACTACCAAAGGCCACGTATGACCTTGTGAGGTGTTCACACCTTTGCGGCTCCCCTCTTCTTCTACAAGAAGTGAGGAGAGATCAAAATTAAGATTGGACTTCTCAACGGCTGACAGTTTAATCCTAAATTTCCTGTACCTCAGTGGTCCCAGGAACATAATTCTTTCATACAAAATTGGCAAGTGAAGTGATTTTCCAGAGAACCTAAGTGGAAATGTTGATTCGGAGCCTTACATTTGGAACCAGATAGTTCTGAGGCATAGTTTCCTAACGGGAGCCAGTTCTGAAACACCTGCAGATGAGCTGGGAGCAAACAGGCCGTGGTGCTAGGTCTTCACGCAGCCTCTTCAGTTGGCTCCAACTTCCTGGGTCTTGCACCCCGTCTCTGACTCGTTATTTAAATGAGCTGAGTGTTTGGAGGCAGCCATGGTGGCATCTAGGTTGCAAACTAACATTCCCTCGTGAAGATGACACGCACTAATCTTATTTTTAGCTTCTGTTCCTTAGATAAGAGCTGACACAATTCCAGGGAGAGATTGACATCTGCCTTTTTGTGTGTGTGTGCTTCCTTGAAGTATGCCTGCTATTTCCCCTTTGACACCGGCTTAAAGTGTTAATCCTCTTTCAGAACAAACTGTAGAGCCTCTGGGCCCGTGTTAATAAGGTCAGGGATTGAGGGATCCTCTCTGGGGAGATTAGTTTTCTTTACACAATGTTAATCTCATATCTTGGCAGGTCCCTTAAAAGACCGAAGGAGGGGGGAACTATCTAAGGAACATAGACCTTCCAGGCATTACTTTTGAAAGATATTATTTACATTAAGTAGTCAAAATGTCCTGGTTTTTGAAAAAGCTCATTGTTTTCTCTATCTCTGAACCATTTTTTCAACTACTAATCATTAGAGCTTTGATGGTTTAGTTCTTGATTTGTGTTAGATAATGAAAGGGTATAGCTAGTCTGGATATTCCTGAGGAGAAGCCCTTAAGCTCTGCTTGGGACCAGTGGCAAACCAACACCTATCTCTCAAAAGAATAATAAGGTAATGAAGTGGCTGCACTGTTGCTCTGAAGTCTAAGGACCTTTTCTGTGATTTCCTTTAGAGCTACTTGTCCGATTCTCCCCCGACGATATGGGCACCACTGGATGAGCTGGACTGTGCTTTCTAAGTAAGAAGCCACTTA